TACTTTATAAAATTTTGATTTATAAAAAATTGTATAAGTAAATCGAATAATATATATATATACTATTTAAAAAAGAATGATAATAAGGATAATATATAGAGGGTAAAAAAAAATAGGGGTGAAAAAAAATATTTATAAGAGAAGGAGAAAAGAAATATTTCGAAAAGAAAGAAATACCCAGTAATATTTATTTGTAATAATGAGTAATATATAATATAGGTTCCACTAGATAATATGTTATTTGACAACCAAACTCGTAAAAAAAAAAAAAAAACAATAAAAATTGTATAGTAATGTATAAGTGGATTAAGTCATAATAAAGACTTTAGTGGGATCGTTAATAAAATAGGTTAAGTAAAATGATTACTGTAGACGTGGTAGGTAAAATATATGATTTCGTTAATGGTAAAATGGTAATAACGAAAAAAAATAATACAAGAAATAGAATTATTATGGTGAAGTAAATTAAAAAACTGTGAAATTTTTTACATGTACAATATGTACAATAAAAAAAAGTGCATAACAAAAAAAGTTAAAACACACACACACACTAAAAAATTTTTTGTCATTGCCTTCTTTTTAAAAAAAGGAAAAAAAATCGTGAAAAGAAGTTTTGAGGTGCAGAAATATACATAACTTCTGCGGTCATTAACATAAAAATGTCACACACGCTGTGAATGATAAATGGGGGAAAAATAAATGAGTTAGAAGACATTAATTATTAAAATAGAAGCGGGCGGGAAACCCGTCAATACTTCCAAAGAGAAAAGGCCAGCTTTCTTTAGTAAGTTGTCAACCATTGTCCATCAAAAAAAAAATAAAAAAAAAAATTATATATATAATCCAACCAAAAATCCAATGAATGAAGCCCAAATAAGTACAGCCATATAACTATTTTTTATAATACAAATATTAATTATAATTCTCATAAGGAGGATTATAAATTTCCAATGGTAAAATCGAATTGGATTGATGATGATAATAGTTTGGCATTGTTGCGGACGCAGAGATCGGGGATGACGAAGTAGTTGACGATGGTGAGACTGAAACAATAACATCTCCATGTTGATGAGGACTATTTTCACCACTATTATGATTATTATTTGAATTTGAAGTAGCAACAATAATGTCAGAAGAATTTACAGTAGCCGTATTATTAACATATTCGGTAGGACTTAAAGAACCTATCGAAGAAGTAGGAGAATGTTGTTGCGAATGTGGAGGAGATTGTTGTTGATGTGGTGAAGGAGAATTAAATACTAATGGAGAATGAGAAGTAGTCGTCGCTGGAAATAAATAAGAAGACATACTAGAACTTGGAACAGTATTGACGGGATCTTGTATCAAGACAGACGTAGCATTCCAGGGTTCGTTAAACCCTGTAAGACCAGGGTGAGAATTATGAGGAGAATGTTGAAAATCTCCAATGATTGAAGAACTTGATATATTATATGTAGGATGTGAATCTGGCGACATAGTAAGAGACTGAGACACTGAAGGTGTCGATTGCATTGACGAACCAGTGATAGGAGAATCATTACCACTTATTAAATTATTTCCAGGATGGTTTTGATGAGTCGTATAAACACCATAATTAGAAGGGATAGAAGAAGGTACAGTTGGTACATTCTGAACAGACGACTGTGTCAAGTTAGATGAATGTTCACTCTTAACAGAAGTTGTCTGTTTGTCATCAAATCGCATACGTTTAGATGACGGTATATCATGTTGTGAAGATGATAAAGGTCTAGTATATCCACGACTAACCTCCTGAAATAATTGAATACCTACAAATACAAAATTTGTCGAATTAGATATATAAATAATTAAAAAATAATTTAACAATAAATAAATAAATATATAAATATATATATATATATATATATATACGTATATATGTATATGTAGCACATACTTTCTGGAGAAGTATGGTAAACCAATTGCGTCAATTGCATAACATGAGCATGATGTTTTTGTAAATCCTCTGTCAAATTACGAACTTCTGGAAGTAAACGATCGTTGACGATACTATTCATATGCTTTAAATCCTTTCTTAGATTTTCGGTAGTCAACGTCAATTCAGCAATTCTTTTACGCATTGCAAGATCGTTATCAGATCTATCCGCAAAGTCCTTAGAATCCATAAAAGGATTCAGAGTGGAATGGGATGGTGAATCTTTTATATTTCCAGATTTACCATTGACAGGGGATCCATAAACGGAGGACGAAGCTGTGAGGTCAGATTCTCCTTGATTATGAGACATTGAAGAATCAGAAAGACGCGGTTTTCTTCTTATCGTTTTTGATACTTTACGGCGTATATTCGGCAGTAAATCTTGTCTACCACGTCTGAATTGAGAATGAGAAAATACACAGGCGTGTTTGCTACGGACATGTTTTGATTTGCGTGCATCAGATACTCGATAAAATCCATATATCTGAAAAGAAAATCCATAAGCAAAAAAAAAAATAATAATTAAAAAAATAATAATAATAATAATAATAATAAAAAATAAAAAAATAAATAACTTACATTAAGTTGTCTGACGAATGAAGTGAATTTACAATGTTTGAAAAATTTTGGTAAAACATTCTGTGCAAATTCATCCATATTGCAAATCACAAACACATCCCCTGTTTCGTTCCACGTAAGGTATTCTTTATATTCGTCACCATCAAGTAATCTAGAATTTTAACATGAATAAGTTAATATCAGTCTTGGATAATAATAAAAATCAGATCAATTGAAATCAACAAAAATGATTTCAAAAAAAAAAAAAAAAGTGGATTAAGTCATAATAAAGACTTTAGTGGGATCGTTAATAAAATAGGTTAAGTAAAATGATTACTG